TGCCCATCATGGAGGCAGGCACCTACAGCTGGGACCAATGAGGAAAACAAGCCGAGCTCTAACGGAAGGAGACCAGAGAGAGATGAGGAGGCAGAAAGGCCTGGGATAGCAGACAGACCACAGCCAGGGTCGCCGAGAGCGGGTTCGGGCCCTGGTGGAAAAAAAAATTCTGGGACCCCCAGCAAGGGTGGACCGGCTAAACAGGGCCGACGAAGCTGGGGAAGCCGGGCCCACTTCTGGACTGCCAGGCCCTGGTCATTTGTACCAGCTCCCCCGCCCTCTCGTCGGCCCTGGCCACAGCCTCATCCCAGGCTGCCTCTGAGAAACTGACAGGGAGACAAAGGAAGACTGCAAGCCCTGGAGATTAAGGGCTGATGGACTGAGCTAATTTGAGATGGATAGAAGGAGACGGTTAGCAGAAAGCTGGGACCTGTGGAGAGACTGCCACAAGAACAGCTGACACTGAGGCAGGGAAAGAATCCAGTTCTCCAGGGTGGCATTCAACTGGATGGAAATTTCCTGGGCAGGGTCCGGTGGGAAAACTAGTAAGTGATCATGTAATTAAAGATCGGCTCATTACAGCTACATACAAAGGAGAGCTGAATGAAGGGCACCCTTAAATTGGTATTTTCTAGCTTTTCAGTACTTGACTTTGCAACCTTAACCTTAATTTAGGTGTTTTGTATGCAATTTTCTAAGCTGCTGAACAAGCAAACTGACCAAGTTCCAGCCTGTGGCAGCGTACTGACCCCCTCCGTGGGTTGAGATTTTGAGAGCCACAGCCGAGGCGTCTGCCACTTGAGCTGACGGAGTCACTGGTACCACAGGCCGGCTGGTATTTTCGGTGTGGACCAGCCACTATAGGGGGATGCCGAATTTCCCAGTGGGCTTCACAACTATTTTGCTGACAGCAGAGAAATGATGATATTCAGGAGCTGTGGGTTAAGTTCCAGGTTGGAGGGAAGTGTGCTCTAGTGGTTATAGTTCCTTCTGCTCTTGTGCCCCCAGTTTGTTCTCCTTCCCCTCTGCTCTTATTGACCCTACCCCAGCTCCTGTCCTTGTACGCCGCTCCTCCTATCTTCCTCCCATCCAGGCTCCAATCCATCCCCCACTGTTCATATCCATCCCCCGTACCTCCTGCCCCCTCCACTTTTGCTCCTAGCCATTTCCTCTCCCTCTGTACCTATTCTATCCCCCCACTCCCGCCCCAAGCTCCTGCCCCCTTTCCTTTCTGCACCTATCCAACCCCCCATCCCGTTCCTTCTCTCTCTCCATTGGTGTCCACCCACTGCCTCCCATCCAAGCAGCTGCTCCCCTCTTCTGCTCCTATCCAATCCCCACAACCCTGGCTCCTGCCCCTTTTCACTTCTATCCAACTCCCCACAGTGGTTCCTGCTAGGGTTTCCAGGCGTCCGGTTTTCCACCAAAACGCCCGGTCGAAAAGGGACCCTGGCGGCTCCAGTCAGTATCGCTGACCGGGCCGTTAAAAGTCCAGTTGGCTGCCCACAGGCAGGGTGCCTGCCCAGCTCCATGTGGCTCCCAGGAAGTGGCCAGCACCTCCCTCTGACCCCTAAGCACAGGGGCGGCCATGGGGGCTCTATGTGCTGCCCCCCGCCCCAAGCGCCAGCTCTGCAGCTCCCATTGGCTGGGAACCATGACCAATAGGAGCTGCGGGGGGGGGGGGGTGGTCCCTGAAGGCAGGGGCAGTGCACAGAGCTGCCTGGCCACACCTCCGCCTAGGAGCCAGACAGACATGCCAGCCACTTCCCAGGAGCCTGAGGTCAGCGCTGCCCGGAGCCTACACCCTGAACCCTCTCATGCCGCCACAGCCCCCTCCCCCAGCCCTGAGCCTCCTCCCACACCCAAACTCGAGCCTGGAGCCCCCTCCTGCACCCCAAACCCCTCATCCCCAGCCCCACTCCAGAGCCCGCACCCCCAGCCGGAGTCCTCACCCCTCCCGCTCCCCAACCTCCTGCCCCAGCCCAGAGCCCCCTCCCGCACTCTAAACCCCACGGCCCCAGCCCGGAGCACCTTCCTGAGGCAAAGGTCACGCTCCTGCCAAATTTCTAGTGCCCGCTCCAAAGCTGGGAAGTGCTAGAGCTTCTCAAATGAAAGATCACCGGAATTTTTTAACCTCGGGCCAAACAACGTATTTCCAATCTCTCCCTCTTCCCCCCCCCCCCAGCCTCATTTTCAGAAACAGCTGAGCCATTTGAGTTGAAACTTTCCAAAAATCATTCCGCCTGAGGGAGACGCCCAGTGTGGCACATTTCAGCCCAAAGCGAGTGAAAACAGGGTCTTTATCACAGAAAGCATTGGGCAACCTGAGTCACAAGCACTGCTACCACCTCCACACCGATCATCTACTTAAAGGGCTTCTATGGCCACAATTACCATTACCACTGCTGGCCTCACACTCTTTAATGCACTGCCACAGCACCTCTGAGAGGCAGGGCAGGGCTACGATCCCCATTGTATAGAGGGGAAACTGAGGCACAGAGCGGCTAAGTGAGTTGTCCAAGGTCAGAGTGGAAGTTTGTGGTGGCTCAGGGAATCAACCCCAGTCTGCTACCTCCCACCCTCGAGTCCTAACCACTGCACCATCCTTCCTCTCCGCTAGGCTCTGCACTGCCCGGAGTGCAAAGAGAAGGCAGCTGACCTTCAGCCCGTGGTGGGATGAATCACCTGGAAGGATGTTGTGTGCGGCATCCATGGGAACGCTGAGTCAGGAGTTCCATTCATCCCCACGCCCAGCCCGGGACACTGCGTAGGGATGGCTTTGGAAATAGAGAGCTGAGCGGAGGCCCTTGTGATCCACTGAAGCCCCTTGCACTACGTCACAGATGTTTCCTCTTAGACCTCAATGTTCCAGAACCCGTTGTTAGAGGGGAGAAATGACAGCTGTCTGGGATAACCGGCCAGTAACAGCTGATCCCCACCGGATTAACCTCCGGTGGCTTCTCTGCTCCTATGTTTGGAAGCCTCTTCATTTCCTGACATAAGGGCTGCTTGCAGGCCGATAGCAAAGGCTGTGTGAGAGTAACACACACAAGCGATGCTGGCCAATGCTTTAATCCTTGGAAATCGTTTGTTTCTGTCGATGGGGCTATTACAGCCGCCGCCAAAGTGCTTTCCGAGAACTCCCACCCCGTGGGGAATGAAGAAATCATAGTGAATCTAAGCGGATTTCTTATTCAGCAGCAATTTTACGGCGCTGTTGAGAGCCAAGGCTGTCAATCTCCCCAGCATAATCCTAAATGCTTGCTAGGAACATTATTATATTCCGATATTCAAGGGAGGCTGCAGGTACTGGGAGGAATAGCAGTGATTGTTACTGCAAAGCACACCAGTGAGCCCCCGAAATCAGAGAGGGAAAAGAGCAGCCCCAACTGATGCAGGATTCTCCCCTGCTCTGGATTCCTGAGAGCCTTGGCCAGTGTGGTAACGGGGCTTTCCGCCCTTCCCTTCCTTTATTGCAACACTTGCTGTCAGGGAATATGCACACGGTGCAATGGCCATTCTAAAAAGCCCACTGAAGTAGGGGTCAGAGTGAAGGCACCCTGCCCCAGCAGGAAGACCAGCCAGGATTGTGCTTGCCAGAGCAACTTGATGCACACAAGTATCAGAGGGGTAGCCGTGTTAGTCTGTATCCACAAAAACAACGAGGAGTCCGGTGGCACCTTAAAGACTAACAGATTTATTTGGACATAAGCTTTTGTGGGTAAAAAAAACACTTTTTCAGATGCATGGAGTGAAAATTACAGATACAGGCATAAATATACTGACACGTGAAGAGAAGGGAGTTACCTTACAAGTGGAGAACCAGTGGTGACAAGGCCAATTCGATCAGGGTGGATGTGGTCCACTCCCAATAATTGATGAGGAGGTGTCAATACCAAGAGAGGAGAAATGGCTTTTGTAGTGAGCCAGCGACTCCCAGTCCCTATTCAAGCCCAAATTAATGGTGTTAAGTTTGCAAATGAATTGTAGCTCTGCAGTTTTATCAAGCATTCTTAAAACTACAAGACCAACCTGGGGAAGTGGGGAAACAGACTGACAGAGCGAGACAGGTACCCAGAAGTCACCTACTACAGGACAGGCCCAAGAAGGAAAATAACAGAACACCACTGGCCGTCACCTACAGCCCCCAGCTAAAACCTCTCCAGCACATCATCAACGATCCAGGGCCGCCCAGAGGATTCAGGGGGCCTGGGGCAAAGCAATTTTGGGGGCCCCTTCCATAAAAAAAAAGTTGCAATACTATAGAATACTATATTTTCATTGGGGCCCCTGCAGGGCCTGGGGCAAATTGCCCCACTTGCCCCTCCCTCTGGGCGGCCCTGCAACAATCTACAACCTATCCTGGAAAATGATCCCTCACTCTCATAGATCTTGGGAGACAGGCCAGTCCTCGCTTACAGACAACCCGCCAACCTGAAGCAAATACTCACCAGCAACTACACACCACACCACAGAAACACTAACTCAGGAACCAATTCCTGTAACAAACCCCGTTGCCAACTCTGTCCCCATATCTACTCTAGCAACACCATCATAGGACCCAACCACATCAGCCACACCATCAGAGGCTCATTCACCTGCACATCTACTAATGTTATATATGCCATCATGTGCCAGCATTGCCCCTCTGCCACATACATTGGCCAAACCGGACAGTCCCTACATAAAAGAATAAATGGACACAAATCAGACATCAGGAATGGTAACATACAAAAGCCAGTAGGAGAATACTTCAACCTCCCTGGACATTAGATAACAGATTAAACAGTAGCTATCCTGCAACAAAAAACTTCAAAAACAGACTTCAAAGAAAAACTGCAGAGCTACAAAACCCCAGTGTAGCCAAGGCTTCAGGCAGGCCGGGGAAATTCTACTAGAGATGACCAAAGGTGGCTGTTTTACTCTCAGTTCATTCTCTGGGTGGCATAGCAAATGCGTCCCTTTCAAGTCAGCCCTTCCCATGCTTGTCTTCCCAATAGGTAAGCACCAGTGAGCTGAGACGCAAAGACAATGAGATGTGGAACATTCGCGTCCACGCTTTGCTCCACCTGGGGGCGATCGTCGCGGTGGATGTGTTTTTCCACTTCTTCTACATCTTGACCCTTCCTGCGGACGTGAAGTTCGTGACTCGGCTCTCAGACTGGGCTTTAGGTGAGTGACGCAGAGAACCACCTTTCATTCCTGTCCCTTAGCCAATTGGGCATTGGCAGTCTCTGATTTTAGCGGGTTTAGAAACTTCTAGAGTCTGAAATGTTAACTAATATTTTTATTCAGGTGCCTGGATAATGTAATGTAATAAGGGAAGATAAATCAAGGCCAAAATGGTTAACCGTGGGTGCTTGAAGTTGGGCAACTAAATCATTATTTAGGCAGCTGAAGTAAAAAGGCCTGGTTTTTGGGAGCACTCAGCAGCTCCCATTGATCTCAGTGGGAATCGTGGGAGCTCAGCACCTCTGAAAATCAGCCCCAAGGTGTCTCAAGTGGGGCACCCAGTAATCCAGAATTAGTGGCCAGAGTTCTAAGACAACAAGACACACTGTCAAAGTATCGACTTTCATGTTCAACAACAGCTTCCCCACTGTTTATCATGACTCTGTATTCGCGGGACCAGTGTCTGAGATTCTGATCTCAGCCACACCAGCGTGAGCACAGGAGGCCACCAGAGGGTAAAACGCAGAGAACTTCAGTGGAGTGGCTCCACATCTGCACTGATGTAACCGGGAGCAGAATCTGGCCTACTATGCATGTGTGTGGACACAGGCAGAGGAGTCACAGGAGACAGAGCCTTGAATCAAGAGCCACGGGCAACAACCAGATAAAGAGAAAAGTTGCCGCTGTCTGAGCCTGGTTCATTTCAGGCGGAAGGTGTACTGGCCATGGTCCTTTCTGAGACCAGAATGTGCCCATAGCTCAGCCTCTGAAGGTTTGAGAATGGAATAAAAACAAACTTTGATTTGTTTTAAAGTGTGACGCCTGGGTTAACCGCGGATACCGGTGCTGAGACGGCTGGCATATGCTACGATAGCCATTCTCCTCGATGGATCACATGCAGGGACTGAATCCAGGAGTTTTAGATCTAAAAGCACAAACCTCTACTGCTTGAGTTAAAAAGACCAGATCTGCTAGCTCAGAGGAAGCAGCAGTCCTAAGCCTATTATTGATGTATTATGGCACTGCCTAGGAACTCCAGTCACAGCCCAGGACCCCATAGGTGCCATACAGATTCACAACAAAAAGACAGTCCCTGCCCAAAAGAGCTCACAATCCAAGTTACTTCTATATGAGGTCCGGACCCCAGAGGAAAACGGAGCCCCCTTGTGTTAACCAGAGCGGGTTGAATGTGTATTTTGTTAGAATATGCAGTTGCATCTAGATGAAAATGCTTTGTGAAATTAGGTCAGTTTCACCGGAATTTTGGTTTGGAAGAAAACCAGAGGGGGGAAAAAGTTCTGACACTATGAAAACGTCCCATTTTGACATGTTCCAAACAAAACGTTTCAACTTTTTTGGTTTGAACCCACTTTTCATTTCCATTTTTTTTATTCTGTAGGGTATCATACTAGAAAATAAAAAGGGCAATCTTGAAATACAATGTTTCAAATGACGCAAAACGATTTTTGTTCTGAATTTTCCTTCCCAGAGAATTTCAAAAACTCTGGGGTCTGTTCTTATGAAGAATGAAGCCAGATTTCGAAATCACAAAATCCTTCGCTGAACGGAACTTCTGTCTTCTGCACGGCTCTCGTGTTAATATTAGATCATGCTGCTGTTTGCCTGCCTCTCACTGGGCTGTTCTCTTTATTCCCTTTGTTGATGCGCACCATACAGCCGGCCTGGCCTACTCTAACTTGGTGTATGACTGGGTGAAAGCTGCAGTGATGTTTGGAATTATCAACACCATTGCTCGGTTGGATCACTTGGACCCGCCGCAGCCCCCAAAATGCATCACCATGCTCTACGTCTTTGCAGAAACGTGAGTGCATCTAAAATGTTAACGGACTCAGGTAGCAAGAGACCGATCCAGTCAGTCCAAAGGAAATATACTGAGAAGGAACACAGCTTTGTCATTTCTCTCTCCTTGCAACCAGTTGGTCAAATAGTCCCAAGATCTTATCGGATAAGGTTGCAAAGGAAGGGAGAATGATCATATGCTACATACTAGTTAGATGTGGCCATGGTCCCAGTTCCTCAGCTGGTGTCAACAGTCATGACTCTGCTCAAGTCTATGGAGCTAGACTGATTTACACCAGCTGAGGGTCTGGCCCATTATCCCTGCCTACTGGTACCAGAATTGCGTAAGCACATAGGATGGAGAGAAATTTTTTAGCGTGGTCCAGGGGGATGTAAGCAGGAGAAATGGGATGGACGGAAGAGAAGGGACATGTAGGCTGAATATCGGGGAGAACTTCCCGACAAGGTGATGTATTATCGTGTGGAACAGTCTCCAAAGGGAGGAGGTAGAAGTCCCATTACTTATGACATTTTAAAAACTAGACACTAGGCAATGCAGGAAACCGTCCTTCCCCAAGAGGTACATTCAGTCAGTAAACTACAAAACCTTTCCTACCTCCAGCTTCAATGGTGGATCTGTCAGGACACCGTCCGATTGTTCCCAACTATCCATAGTGTTACAGTGATGTGAAAGGAGAATTACCCCCTTTTTCTGGCCCACTTCTGCTAAAAATGTAGCTTACATCACTATTTATATCACTGAAGTCAATGGCCCAGAGACGGCTCTGGAAGAGGCATCTGCTTATGCCCAGGTCCCAGTGTGGCCCATTGACTTCTGTGGCGTTTGCATAGGAATAACTCCAAAATCAGATGCTTTGGTGAAACAGACAGTTAAAGTTAACACTGGTATTCTGCGCTTGGCAGACAAACTGGTTAATCAGGAGTAAGTTCAATGGTGTTACACCAGTGAAAAATAGGTGCAAATGAGAGCAGTCGTCTTTGAATGACTATGTAATATAATGCAATTGTTACCACTTCCCATTTTAACATTTTTCTCTCGTTTTGCCTGTCTGTATTTTAGGCACTTTGATAGAGGGATTAATGACTGGCTATGCAAGTAAGTCTCCTTAGGAGATCTGTCATCTCCACTGGGGTTTGGGACCTTCTCTTCCATGGTATGACTGACTCCCTGAATGGCAATGTAACTGGAAGGATGTTAAGCATTATTCACTCTGGTCACAGAGAACCCTAAAGCATCTCAGTTTTCATCTCTTTGCTGATCAGCTCCCTAAAATGTGATCCAGCCAGTCTGTTTTTTAAAGAAGGGCTGGGCCAACTGGTTTGGAGACAACAAGAACCAGCCCGAACCACCACCCAGAACTCGACTCAAACCTTTTTGCTGAACAATTCTATCCCGGTTCCCCTCCAATCCGATTCTCTCTCGTTCCGCCGAATCCAGGCCCCCCAAAATCTTTGGTGACCTTGTTCTGACCATATCCCACGGCTTATGCTGCATCCACATCTTCCTCAGCCTTTCAACTGTTTTCAGGAACAATAACATGCTAGTGACTGTGCAAGGAAAGTGTCAGGTGGTCTGTGATTAAATGTTTGTGCATCAGGGAACCTGGTAAATAGTTCATACATGGCAAGGTGGTAGGGTTGCAAACTTGGTAATATTTAAAAACTGGATACTCCGGCAGGAGTGCCGGAACCTTCCCCATCCTGCATCTTCCCCTGAGGCCCCACCCCAGCCCCGCCTCGTCCCCCCCAAGATCCCGCCAACATTCACTCCTCTTCCTCCCTCCCCCATCACTTGTTACTATTCCCCTCTCTCCCCTGCCGAGGTTGGGAGGGATTCATCTGTGGAGCCGGGGCTGGGAGCTGCAGCCGCCCAATGCAGGTAGGAGGCAGCCCTGGCTGAGTAAGGGCTGGCGTGGGTAATGACCCGGCACCTCCTCACCACCCCGCCCACAGTAACTGGACTTTGTGTGTCCAGTCAGTATTTCTGACTGGACACTATCAGATCCTCTTTTCGACCCACCTTTCCGGTCAAAAACCGGGCACGTGGAAGGAATAGGTGTCACAATAAGTGTATATTGTAAAACCCGTAGCCTTGCGGGAGAAGAGCGAGAGGGGCTGTGTAGTGGCTTGTATTACAGTGATACGGTACATGCTCATTGCTGGAGGTTTCCCAGACATCATCCTTCCAGCCCCCCAAGTAACACTGCCCCGGCCCTGCCTGCTGCAGAATCCCGTCCCCAAGCCAAACCCCCTGAAACGTCTTGGGGTTTCCTACTGGCTCTCCTCCCAGTTGCCCTGCAGAAGGGTGTAACCCTCGCAGTGCCAGACAGCAGCCATCCCCACCATTCACTCCCCAGCAGATGTAACTCGTTCATTGCCAAGGGACCCCTACAAATTCTTCCTCCTCCCATGCAATCGCCAGGACATAAAACGCCTGCAGAAGACAGTCCTGGAGTAACTTGGTTGGAAGCCAACGCTCTCCATAGAGTAACGAGGGGAGGAATTCTCTGTTCAAGCTGCAGAGTTGCTGCTCTAGCCCAGGGGCTGGAGTAACAACAACAACTAGCTCTTACACAGCACTTTCCATCCATGACTCCCAAAGGAGAGCCAGGATCACCATCCCCATTTTACAGATGGGGAAACTGAGGCAGAGAGGGGTGACAAGACTTGCCCAAGGGCAAAAGCACCAACGTTTAGTTTTTCCCAGCGGTGCTCCACCCCCTGCCCCAGGGCCCCTCTACCACCACCTCCGCCCTCATTCCGCCGCTACCTGGTCCCACTCTGCCCCCTCCCCAAGGTCCCTGCCCACCTGCCACTTGCTGCTCTCCACCCTTCCCCAAGTCCCTCCCTGGGCCACCAAACAGCTATGGCTGGTGGGTGCTGATCACCCACTATTTTTTTCCCATGGGTTCTCCGGAGCACCCATGGAGTCGGCACCTATAGCCCAAGGCCATCCAGCAGACCAGTGGCTGAACCAGGAATAAAATGCAGATCTCCACTAAACAATACCGATCCTATTGACCCCTAGGTACGTGTACGATCACCTCGGGGAGAACCACGATGATGTTGTGAAGGAGCTTCGGGCCACCATCTGCACCTTCGCTGTCACCACCCTGTGGCTGGGCCCCTGCGAGATCGTTTACATCTGGTCTGTCTGCAACTGCTTCGGACTCAACTTCGAGCTCTGGGTGCAGAAGTTTTTCCAGATGGAGCCCTTTGGCAGCATGGAGGTAAGAAACTCAACGGCAACCTGCCGTCAGGTGGGGCGGATCAGCTGGTTTGGGGTGACAGATCGCTAAGAACATGTGCGACTTCAGTGGAGCTGCACCAGTTAACACCCAGGGGCCCAAAACGCTGGCTTCATACAGCATTGCGTTGGAGCCGTAACTAAGGAACCTCAACACTGTCGCGCTCCCTGGCAGTCTGCCACAGAACTGCAGTTGTCCCTGCCTCGGTTTCCCTTAGTTTGTTCAGGGATGGAACCTATATCCATCAGTCTGCGTTTGTAACCCCAGTCCTCCGGCTGGGTGAGTTACTTGTGTCTCTCCCCTTTTAGGGCTGAAAGGAGTCTGGCCCCACCCAGAGTCCTTCCCGTCTCTTTAGTGGACCTTCTCTCAGGAGTCCCAGGAGTTTGGGCTTTTGGCCTCTCTTCTTATCCCTTCTTTTGGGGCTGCCCCCTTTACAGGTGTCTTCCCTTCTTTCTTCAACAGGGCAGGAATAAAGTAAGTTAAAGCAGGAACACAAAGGCAAAGTCGAGAATTCCTGTTATTGTTGCCATCCCTGGTCAGGGTTCTCAGCAGTCTCTGCTCCGTGCGGGGCTAGGAGGAGGATCGAGGGCTGCCCTCTCCTCTAGGTCCCAGCCCAGGGACCCTGGGTGATGCGGTCGGGGACTTGTTTACATAAATCTTCTACTGCTTCCCACCTCAGGGCCTTGACAGTTCCTCCTGCAGATCCCTGCTGGCAGAGAACTGGTTTTCCTGGGCAGCTTCCTCCTGTCTGACCCTGTGGAGCCCCTGCCCTGGGGCTCTCTGGATCTCCAGTCCCCCTGTTCTGGCTGGGCTGCGGCCTTTGATTCCCCCCCCCGCCCCGGCCATAGCTGGCCCCAGGTGCAGCTGGGGAGGTAATCACTCCCTTTTTTAACTCTTTATGATATGTCTACATGAGCGTCCCATCCTGGGGTCAACAGAGTCAGGCTCGCACTACCGTGCTAAAAACAGCTGTGTAAATGCTGTGTCTCAGGCTAGAGCTCAGTCTGACACCCACCCCCTCTGTAGGCTTCAGAGCCCAAGACACAGTGTCTACACCGCTGATTTTAGCACAGTAGTGCCAGTTTGAGGCTGTTGACCCGGGCTAGGCGTCTCGCTGCCATGAGCTGTGTAGACGTAGCCTTAGTGTCCGTTCTGTCGTAGGGTCTATACACCGCATCAAAGGAACATTCCCCATCTTTGGTTGGGAAGGGGGGACAGCCCCATCCCTCCCACCTAAAGCCTTTTGGATACTTCAGATCACCCTCATTTTGGTTTAGAAAGGCTGGTAGATCTGAAGGGATCACCTCTAGGGCAGAGAGGGCAGCTTGGTCTCCATGGCCATGGAGTCCATGGCCCTTCTGCTGGGATTACCAAGGGCTCTGAATGGCAGCCTTTGTGCTCCAAGTCCTTCACGTTCACGAGCAGCAACATGCACATGCAAAATCCAAATTCCCTCCCCCCCAGAGCCTGATCCAAAGCCCTCCTGAGCTCCTGGGTGCTTCAGGGGAGATTGATTCCAGCCCGAGAACTGGAGCGTCCCCTAGGGGAAAATGGAGAGGCCATCGAGGGACCCAGAACTACTACCCGTGAAGCACCCACAGCGACTCAGGTGGAAGTAAAGTTAAGGCCAACCAGAAACAAAGCATTTAATGTGTCCACATGGAATTTTTCCAGAACGTTTTTTCATTCTGCATTTTTTTTTTGACATTTCAACTTTTTATCCCAATTTGGGATGAAAACAAACATTGAAATACTGGAATATCCCACAGGTCTGAAATGCCATTTTTCGATCCGTTCTAAAGACCAGTGACCCCCATCTAAATCTGGGAGCTAGTGGCCGGTAGGAGGATGCTGCCAGGAAAGATGCAAGAAATCACACCAGGGAAACATTTCTGTTGTTTGTTACCAACCCTAAACCATCAGACCTGACAACAACGCCCTTCAAAGAAACACTTCAGAGCTAACCATCGCCTTGCTTCTTCAAATTGAACTTGTAACCAGATTATAACACAGAAATCCAGAGAAATCTTATTGCTAAAGGCACCACAATTCTCAGCTCCAAGGGTCCTGGGATTTCTAGTTCTCTTTGAAGATTGTTATAAAAACCACTTCCCGTCTCCAGTCAATGCAGCGGCACTGAGGATTACGTGCAAGTGACGATCACATTCTGCCGTTGATTTTTTTAAATCTTAACAACCTCCAGCTAGTGCTAATGACAATCATGACAAAGGATCGTGCCCATAGCAGTGTGCCTCAAGGCAGCCTGTTATTACTAAGGTGCACAGGAGGGGCAAAAAACCCCTCCCATCATCTAGTATGCACTTCGCAAACATTGGTCCATTCCCTGGTCTACCTGAGCGGAACTCAGTGCAGGACCAGAGAAGTTTGAACAACCCTTGTGATCCCCCAGGGCTGGGTTCCCTGGGCGCTAACAGGGCCTAAATGCTGCTGCATTCTACACATGGCTGCCCACGGCCCCCAGGAAACCATTCCAGCAACTGGAGATCAGCCACATGTAGCAACATCCCGGCCATGCCCCCTCCCCCAGGCCAGGCCTCCTCTCTGGAGGCCAGGAGAGGTGGTGGCCTGTCCCACCGAAGGAATCACAGAACAATGCAGCTATAGTATGGAGTGAACCTGGACTGTCTGCCTGCCTGATGACGGGAGATGCTGAATTCTTCCATTCCCATCAACCTCCCTGTCCTGATGAGCCTACAGTCTCACTCAGGCAAGACAAATGAACCCAGGACAAGACCCAGGGGTATAATCCGGGCTAGGGCAGGGGTGGGGGGAGTCACTGAAGTGGGGAGGGTTTGCTTGGCAAGGTGGCTATGAGAGGTAGAGAGAGCACCCAGGCCCAGGCCACCACACAAGAGGAAGGAGAGAGGGGCAAAGGCAGCAGTGAGGCGGGGGAAGAGCGGAGGGAAAATGAGAGTGCCCACACGAGCCAGCGTGAAGCACAATGATGTTTACTTAGGATCTCTGCTCCCTAGGCCAGACTCCGCTGCCCCGGCTCTGTTGACTTCCACTCTGAACTGTGCCCTCCAGGGGCGCACGCCATCCCGTCCGGAGCCCCAAACGCCATTGCAGGCTGGTGCTCGTGGAATGGAAGATGGTGGCCTGGGGCTGGCTCAGCTCACGTGTTAGCCTAATGGCCCCACGCTACCGTCCATTAGCGAGGGGGATCCTCACTCTGCTATGGGCACTTCACACAGAGCCGATCTTTGTGAGCAGCAGCCCCAGTCCCAGGTAGGGTTGCCAATTTTGGTTGGACGTATTCCTGGAGGTTTAATCACATGACATCATCTTTAATCCAAGATTAATGAATTGAGATAGTCTATCTCCTAGAACTGGAAAGGACCTTGAAAGGTCATCAAGTCCAGCCCCCTGCCTTCACTAGGAAGACCAAGTACTGATTTTGCCCCAGATCCCTAAGTAGCCTCCTCAAGGATTGAACTCATAACCCTGGGTCTAGTAAGCCAATGCTTAAACCACTGAGCTATCCCTTCTCCCCTGGGAAACTTTAATTCCTGGAGACTCCAGGCCAATCCTGGAGGGTTGGCAACCCTAGTCCCAGGAGTGCCTCCCGGAAGGTGCTGAGCGTCCCCAGCTCCCATAGACTTCACAGCTCAACACTTCACAGGACTGGGAGCCGGAGCGTCAAATGGAGGGAGACAACGAATGGGCCAGAGAGAGGAGCGGACAGACTAGACAGGAAGGATGGTTCAGGTGGTTTGTACCTGGGTTCGATTCCCTGCTCTACCAAAGTTTCCCTGTATGATCTTGGGCCCATTGAATTCAGTGGGAGTGAGGCCCTAGTCTCTCCACACCTCAGTTCCCCATCTGTATAATGGGGGTAATAGCACAATTGTACCTCCCAGGGATGCGCTGAGGATAAAGATGGTGTGGTGTTCAGATACCACTGTCATGGAACTGGTGATAGAAAGATGGGCTTTTGGAGAACACAGCTAACAAAAATCCCACTCCCCTTAGCAGGCAGCGCTGTCCCCTTACGCTCCTGTCCCTCTGTTTCGCTGGGCAGGCCAACATGTCAGAGCCGATGTCTCGGCGGATTAGAGGGATCTTCGGGGCTGCAAACTTCTGGGCCATTGTCCTCTACAACGTCCTTGCCCTCAACAGCCTGGACTTCACGCTGCTGGTTGCCAAGAGAATCCTCCTGACAGGTAAAGGCCTTCTGTTCCCCCGGGGATGGGCAAGCCCTTTTTCTTTGCGTACAGGAGTCACTACACCAAACTCAAACCAACGACCCCACTCCAGCCTGGCACCCCTGACTTAACGGCAGGAGCGTTTGTGGTTAGCTTATATGCTCCTTGGGACAGGGACCATCATTTTTTTGCCATGTTTGTACAGGGCCTATCACAGTGCGGCCCTGTCCATGGTTTAGACCTGTCGATGTAATTGCAATGGAAATAATAACAACAGGGATTTATTTCCCCGCTGCCTCCTTCTTCCGTTACGGCTGCTATTCCCGTGTGGAGCTGAGATTGTCAGACACGCGCTCTCCTCACCAGCCTTGTATTTCTAATAGCTTCTTAGGCAGCTGTATTGGATCCCTTCTGTTATTAAATCCCATTTATTCTCCCATCCCCTAATAACTTACCCTGACTGTGTCTTTCTCACCGAGAGGTGGCAGCAGCGTGTTGAAACAGCCTGCGCTGTAAGTGGCTGACTGAGTGGTGCCCAGTCCCCTTCCGGGCTTCCCCACGGGACTGACCGGGGCTCAGGAGGGGGATAACGTGTGACCTAGGGGGTTCAGAACGACAGAAGTTCCTGACGGCTGAGTTCATTGTCGGAGCTAGTCATGTTACTCATTCAGAAGTCCTGTTTTAACAGGTACAGAGCCTAGATCTCTCTTTCTCTGCTATGGAAATCGTTGTGGCTTCTAACACTGCCAGACACCTGCCCAGTGGAATTGTGGCCCTGTACTTGAAGCTGCTTATCCTCTCTATTATTGATATTCTAAACGAGGGCCTGTGAATGGACTCCCCTGTTATCTAGGACAGAGAGATTGATAGTTGGGGTGGGATCTCCAGAGGGCAGTTCCAGGCCCCGTGTTTATAGAGGGACCGGATGTGAAAATACATTGCCTGGGGCTGGCTAAGAGCAAGTCTACACTACCACATTACATCGGCACAGCTGCACCGCTGTAGCGCGTCTAGTGAAGACACATATGCCTATGGGAGAGAACGCTCTCCCGTCGGCATAATTACTCTCCACTTCAACGAGAGGCGGAAGCTATGTTGGTGGGGAACATGTCCCACCAATATAGCGTGGTGTGGACAGAGCTTTAAGTTGATGTACCTTACGGCGCTCAGGGAGGGTGGCTTTTTCACACCTCTGAGCGCCCTAACTTACATCAACTTACGCGGTCGTGCAGACAAGCCCTAAGTGGGACGAAGGAGTCCATCTGAGCTTGGGGAGCTGAGAAAGTCTTTCCACGGGATTCAAAGCTGGGAGGGCCTCCCGGTTTGTAGAAGACCCTGCTACTTTGGCAGATCTGGACTTACCCCTGGAGAACTCCGCCCCAGTGGATGAGATGGGGTCAGATCCAAAGTGGATGGAAAGACTGCCATGGATCGCTGTGGCTCATGCACAGACACGGTTCCCCGTGTTTATCACCTCTCAGCACCTGCCCCACACCAAGCAAGGATGCTGAGTTGCAGTCAGACTAGCTTTGGAGAAGAACCTCACCCTTTTCATTAGCGCCCAAGCCAAGCTGACTTCTGTCCCTCTGACTCGCAGGTTTCCCACTGAGCACCTTGTCCATCTGGTTCATCACCTACTGCGGAGTGCAGCTGATCAAGGAGAGGGAGCGCCTCCTGGCAATAGAAGAGGAGAAACGAGACAAAGAAAAGGCAGCGTAGAGATGAGAAGAGGATTGGCCCAGACACCTCAGCGGCAGCATCACTTCCTCCCGGCCTTCCAGGCCAAGACCCCTGCAAATTGGGGCTCTCCAGCATTATTTGCAGTCAAGCTACTGTATCTCTCCCATGTACAAACCACCTGTAATAAAAATCTTCTAGCTTAAATAAAGATTTTCCATAAGACTTTAATAGGCTTTTAATATGCTAAGAACACATGGCAGGCTAAGTTCTGTTAGATCCATTTAATAGATTCTAAGACCTGGTCATCTCGTCTGACCTCCTGCATAACACAGGCAGTAAGTTTTCACCCACTGATCCCAGCATCTCAAGCCCATAACTTCTAGTTGAGCTAAAGCATTCAGTCCTTTTGCAAGACACACTTGGTGTTTCAGAAAAAGGCATTTCTGTAATGCACCGGGCTGATTGTTCTCCCCATAGGAAGGGAAGGATTCCTTCCTGTTCCCAAGAAGAGAGGAACATCTTATACCCTGAAGCATGCAGTTTGGATACTCTTTTCTTATCCTATCTAATTATAGCTTCGTAGTAGGGATCGAAAAATTACCCAGCCCTTCACTAATGCATTCTGGGTGCTATGCATATGTTTCAATCTAATCTCTGTATAACATAGGGTGACCAGATGTCCCAATTTTATAGGGACAGTCCCAATTTTGGGGTCTTTTTCTTATATAGGCTCCTATTACCGCCCCCACCCCCCCGGCCCTGCCACCACCACCACCCCCATCCCCGTCCTGATTTTTCACATTTGCTGTCTTGTCAACCTAGTATAACAACAGAGGCCAACATTAAATCTATATAACCCCTCCCCCACATTTTTAAAGCCCCTCAAATGATTAGGACTGGAGAAAATGCTTGACAGTGACAGAGAGCTCAGCCTTCAGCTTGCAAGAAATAAAACAAAGGTGACTTGATTGCGGTATATAAGTACCTTCAAGGGAAGAAAATACCAAGTACTTAAGGGCTCTTTAATCTAGCAGAGAAAGGCATAACAAGAACAAATTCAAGTTGGAAATTAGGCACAAATTTTAAACAGTGAAGGTGATTAACCATTAGAACAAATTCCCAAAGGAAACAGAGAGACAGGATGAGAAGAAACATTGCAGGGATTCTCCATCACTTGATGTCTTCGGATCAAGATGCCTGTCTGGAAGGTGTGCATTAGTCAAAATCAAGTTATTGGGCTCAATACAGGGGTAACAGGGTGAAATTGAGAGATTTGTGCTATACAGGAGGTCAGACTAATGGTGCCTTCTGCCCTTAAATTCTATGACTCTACGAATGAATACGGCCAGCAGCAGCGCTGGAAAGAGCAGGGGTTTCCAAACATCTATGCTGAAGATGGATGCAAAGAAGTCAATGTCAGTGAGGGCTCAATTCTTCTGCAGAACAGGCCCTGAGCCTCTCTTTTTAAGTTCCTCTAACATCAATTACATTTTTAAGTCTATTTAGTGCTGGTGAATCCTAGAATATCAGGGTTGGAAGGGACCTCAGGAGATCATCTAGTCCAAACCCCTGCTCAAAGCAGGACCAACCCCCAGACAGATTTTTACCCCACTTCCCTAAATGGTCCCCTCAAGGATTGAACTCACAACCCTGGGTTTAGCAGGTCAATGCTCAAGCCACTGAGCTATCTCTCCCCCCCAAAGGTGCCTGAATGACAGCCTGGGAGAGCGAGGCTTTGTACTGACCTCCCGAATGTTCACTTACAAGCAACCATAGTGCAAACGTCTCACCCAACGTTCCACCAATATGCTTCGAGCCTGACTTGAAGGGCGCCACCTATAGGGCTAGGAGAGTAGTGCGACCTCCATGACATTTCTGGTGTTGGTTTCCGTGACACAGATACCGGTCCCCTAGGAATCAAACAGAGA